TTCCCCAACTATAGAATTTTCTGAAACTCATGTGTACAGAAATAATGCCTCATGTACCATATTAATATAGCAAAGTGTTGGACACATAGCTGGTTTCAAAGAGGCCCTTACCAATTGACTAACAAATCAATGAACAAAGTAAGAAATCCAGCCAGCAGGCTCAAGCTTTGTCTATCAGAAATTACTTTCCTAAAAAGCATTTTTTCCTTCCTTTATAGATCAATTTCAAAGTCAAAATTCAAACACTGCAGATTTCACAAACAGGAATAGCTGGCAGGTATTGGGCTTTGCAAATAATGAATGTGCACATCAAAACAACATTTGTGGATGTTTGTAAAAGTATATACATGAGTTGATATGAACAGAGATACTTAAGAACCCTTCCTCCCAGTCTAAGTAAAGAGTAAAACCTGGCCCTGATAGAGCCCACCATTGCTACATGACTTCAAAATTACAGGAATATTTCTGGAGTGTAATCTAGCTTTGCCAATTACAAAGTAACTACATATTTATGCTGGCAAAGCCCCATTGTTTGCTGACCCTTCAGACCCTTCAAAGTGTATAAACAAAGACAAGGAAGTTTGTTTCATTAGGAGATAAGCCTATACGTCACATATCTCTATAGCTGATATTGCAGGAAGGAACAGAAATAATATTAATCTGTTCACTTTACCTATTGAATGTTCTAATCCAGGGTCTTTACATGAGGACAATACTTAAAAGAGCATGGCTAATCTATGCTAATGTAATTGTATTTTATAAGTGTCTTAAGTAGGATTGATTCAACCTCTTTAAAATTAAGATTAAAATGGCAAATGTTCAAATCACTTATAGTACAAGGCACTAAATTAATTATTTTAATATAACATAGAATATATACTTGGCACACAGTATTATTTTTCTAGAATAATAATATTTACTTGAATTTAAAGCTTTTCATATGCCAGGCAATGTTCTAAGCACTTTACAAATAGTAAGTTACTCAGTCTTCAAGAAGAGTCCTGCATATGTCATTGGTATTGTCATTCTCATTCTACATATGAGGAAACTGGGGTAGAGAGGAATAAATGTTTCCCAAGGGCAAGGGGAGAGTTCAGATGGATAAAGACTGCCATGTATTACTTCCTACAGCCAAGAAGGTGCAGATCTAGTATCTGAGCCAGACTAGTCTGACTCCAGAATTGATGCTCTTAACCACTCCACTATACCGCCTGTGTGTAATATCATGTCCTTACCAATGGCCTTTGGTAAAAGGGACATATGCTTCACATTCACGAAAACCTGGTTTATATCTCAGCTCGGTCATTTACTAGCTGTGTGGCCTTAGACAAATTATTTAACATCTCTGAATATTGCATTTTTCAATTGTATAGTGGGAATGATATTCCATATCTTGCAAATTATTTGCAATAATCTGTATAATCCACTCGGCAGAGTACATAGCACACAGTAAGTATTCAATAATTTATCTTTATCATTGCTAAAAAAGTAGCCCCAAATTTAATATTTTATACTAGTTTTATATCAGTATCATGGGGAATTGTTTCCAGGACCCCCCACAGATAACAAAATCTGAGGATGCTCAAGTCCCTTTTATAAAGTGGTATAGTATTTGCATATAACCTACACACATCCCCCATACACTTTAAACAATCTCATTATTTGTAATAGCTAATACAATATAAATGTTACGTAAACACTTTTGATACTGAATTGTTTAGGAAATAAATGCAAGAAAAAAAAAGTCTGTAGATGTTCCATACAGATGCAAACACTGTAGACCTAACTACATAGTGTACTTTAGCAATAATGTGACATTTTCTGGAATTTTTTAAAAAAATAATTTTGATCCAAAATTGGTTGAATCCACACACATACGGAGGGCTGAATGTACCTGCATAATTCTCTATGAGTTCATAGGTAAATTACCAAATACGTTTCAAATAAATGGAAGTATATTTGGTACAGTTCTTGGGAAGACATCATTGTAGCTATATGGACCCTAATGAATATTCTCTCTACATTAATAGTACTCTTATCTGGATTATTACAACATTCCGATACTCTGCAAACTGAAGAGGTTAAAACCAAGGCAAGAGATAACTTTGCTCCATTCCATATTATTGATAAATTCATTTCATAATAGCTAAGTAATAAAAAAAAATCTAACTCATCAGCCACAGTTGTGTAGTCAGTAAAATGCATGAAAATGTTGAGCAGTATATGCATTTTTATTGGCTTGAAAGTTATGCACGTCCTTTCAAAATCAGCTATAAAAATTGATCTCACCCCATTCCATCAAGACATCAATAGCAATATTTGAATTTTTGTTTGTTTTTTGCTCAACTCTTATAATAACCTCATATCTAATAAAGATCAATTTCCAAAGATAAACCTCAGGAAATTAATAATCTATCAACTACAACTACTTAAAAGAGAACAAAAATCCTTAAGCAGAAATGACACCTGGCTCTATGTAGCAAGTATTATCAAAGCTGGGCAGACAGGAAAATGCTCAGCATTGATATTAAAGAATAAGACATTGTGATCATTGCCTGCTCTTCAGTAGCCCTATTCTGCAGTCTAAAATGATCCTTCCATAAAGGAATGTCCTATACTATCAAGAACAGGATACTTAGTCTCTAAATTTCAAAGCTCTTTTTTATGCACCATATACCACAAGCAGAGACTTCATTTTCTCCAAGTGCTAAGAGCTCTTGCTCAGAGGGCACAGCCACACTCATGACTGCGCACATAGGGCCATGAGGCATATTTTGAGCCAAAATGGTAAAGACGGTTCCTCAGTCATTTGGCATGATGAGGGCCAAGACCTGAATTTGAACCTTTGCTCTTTAGCACCTTTCTGTAGCCACAGGAACTCTCTAAAACTCAACTTCTTTATCTTATTTAGAGAAATATGGGACTATATATCTAAAATCCTAGTATACGCTAGATAGTCAATAAATAATAGATGTTATTAAATTGTTTTAGTTTTTTATTTTACATGCATTGGTACATGTTGTTGTATTTTGATCCAGAGCTGTTTTAATGTACCTTTTAGTAAAGGGAACTAAATTCAATAGTATTACTGCAACTCATATTTTCAAATAAGTATTACATCAAGGTATTAAAACAGTACCTTTAGTAGCCTTCCAGACCGGCAAAACAGCCCCGCTATGTATCACTATATACACAAGGAACATGACTGAGGACAAGGGCAGGAATCACAAAAGGTCTCAAACTTAAACTTTGGATTGTTCAAAAGAGATTATACACAATCTTAGAGGTGTACTAACAGGATTAAAAGAGAATGTTTATCACACAATCTTAAAGTGGACTATGAATTAGTATTTTTCATAAAACCTCTAATTATCATCTGAATAGCCCAATTACACCGCATTGCGCTTTTTAGTGTTAAATGCATTACCTTTAAAATTACAAACATTTATAATATAGAGGAATTTGGTAATCCTATTTTGTCATGTCTTCATTTGTTAACATACTGGGATCTTTTATAATAAAGTGGCTTAAGCTTCTCTCTACCTTTAAAAGGTTCTGCCATGGTATAAAGAAATTCACTGATCATCTGGTGTGATATAAAATATGGCTTTCTGTGATGGGAAATACATATTAAATAGTAATGATAATGCTAGAGTCCACCTTTATTGATATTGTATTAAGCACTATATAAAGTACTTTTAAAAGCGTTGCCTCATTGAATCCTCTCAACAATCATACAAGATAGTTTCTACTATTCATTTCATTTTACACATGAGAAAACAAAAGTTAGAGAAGTTAAATAACTTGCCCAGACAGATGGCACAGTCAGTATGTGAACCCCAGCAGTCAAACTCCAAAGCCCACGCTCCTCCCCAAAACACTGCAGTGTATTGCACAGATTCATGACCCAGACTACTTCCAATGGCTTTGTTTTCTTATTCTATTTACTATTCCTTTTAAACATATGCTCTGAAACCAACTTTTTGTTCCATGGGGTTACCTCTTGAGTAACCCTTAAAAGTAAATTGCTCTTTACTTCTCCTTTAAGGTATCTCTTTTTCTACCTTCAAGTGAAGCTCTCTTAGTTCCCTGGCACAGCACAGCTCCTCAGTTTTCCTCCAAGTTCACAGCAAATGCAGCTTCCCTCTTGCTTACTCCACTTCTCTCTCTCAAGTTCTTTCCCAAGTGTTTCCCCACTCTGAGTCCAGCCGCTTCAGGTCTGTGCCTCTGATGGCCCTCTGGGTTTGCCACCCTGCTGTGCTTCTAGGTCTAGGTATGTTGGAATCTACAGTTATCTGCATCCCCACTTATCCTGACTACTGTGGTTATGAGGGGCCTCTTTTGAATGCAGACAGCCAGTCAGCCAAGTCGAAATTTATACCAGAAATCTATTGCCTAATTTTTAAACAAAATGACATGAAATCAGACTTGAAGATATCAAAAGCATGTCTAGTTTCTGATTTAAGCAAGAAAATACACATTGTTACTGCTCCCACCACAGAATAATTTACTGCAACAGGAGTTCTGGATCTTATCCCAAAAATGAGATCCTCTAACCAATGTCAAGGCCAATTATCTTGTGGTAGATCCCACAACAAAAGCAGACTATTGTGATTAGAGTCAGAAGCACCACCCAGAGAAGCTGGAAAGCTTCTGGGGATTTCTTAAGGTTAGTTTTTATTTTTTCTCCCTGTGTGTCTGGTTAAATAAACTACCAGAAACTCTGTGTGTGGGCACTGAGCATCTTAAATTGGCTTGGGAGACAATGACAGGGGTGATCAGCTGGGAGTGAGCTCTTCCAGGTTTGGCTTGATTTGAGCAAAAGCCATGGTGCAAGGCAGTGCCCCTATGACACAGCAAAGGTTCTCATGGCCAAGCCCCTTCAGTATGTCACAACCTCCTATTTCCCTAATCTCCTTCCCAAACATACTGCCAATAGCCATCCTATAGTTACTTACTGCAAAAGAAGAGCCCAGGTGGCTAAATTCAGGAATACTTACCCCACAGTAAAGAACTGCCTCATCTCCTGTCTCCGAGACCTCATCAGTTGCTTATACTCCCCAATCCGAAGCTTTTTGCCATCAACAATGCAGGTGCGTTTCGGTCGGGGTTTGTATTTATAGTTTGGGTACTTCTCTAAGTGGATCTTGCTTAGCCGGGCCTGCTCTTCATAATAAGGTTGCTTCTCCTGGTTGGACATTGATTTCCAGCGAGATCCTATAAATAAAAATAGCCTTAAGTATCCAAGTGGCCAAGGCAACATATTGTAGGCAAACACAACTAGATATACCTTTCCACCACTTCATTCATCTGTGTGCTGGGTGGCTCCAATTACCACATAGCACTGGCTATCCCAACTATACTCTTAGTCTATAGTACAAAGCATATGACACTTTCTCGTATTATTTCTCTCAATAGTTTAAGACTGATGCTACTATACGTTTTAAAATATATCTTTGCTGCTTAAAGATCATCGCCTACACCAAGATCTTTCCCCATCCACCTGCCTATCCTCTCAACAGGGTTAAAAGGCTAAACTTCCTAAGCATACTTTTGAGCATGACAGGATTCTCAGGAAAACCTTTCTTTGTCCTAGAAATTCAAACATCTCCCAAACTCCAAGTATCTTTAGTGAAACTATCCTTTGACAAGATGTCAGCAGATGTTGAAATCCTTCCATATATGAAAAACTACTGTGCACAAGTCTCCCATGGCCTAGGTAATTAAAAAACCTAAGCTCTACTTAAGAAGTTATAGCTTTAGAACCGGAAGGTACCGTTGGAATTATATATACCATTTTCAAGTACTATAAACGTTCATTCAAAGCTGTACCAATAAAAGTACAAAAATTTTTAATATGGTTTATACAGGAAGAAGGATAAGTATTCACTTCTCTAATATTGTTTATAAAGAATTATCTAAACACTTGATGAAGAGGGGATGTGTTTTTTTACATGTATCAAATTGCATTTTTGTGTCTCATTGGTGAATAAAGCGGTAACAGCTGTGCAGGCTGGATGTTAGCTATTCTTCAGTGGAGATTTTTTGTACATAAACAAATGGAAAAGTTGTACAAATATTCTCTGCAGCCAGCAATATCCTGGTCTGCTTTAATAGCACATCCATCCCTGCTCTTTCCTGATTGTTGTGCAAAAGTTGTGTAGAAGGCTTATGCAGATATGCTTCTCTCTGTTCTGCTGGTTTCCAGCAGCTTAAAGCCCCAATTAACAAAGAATTCTTGGTGCTCTTGAAATGCTTGCACTTAAAACTTTACATTTTAATGAATATACTTACTATATTCTTAATAATTTTTTCACAGAATGCACACAAATGATATAGATTCCCCATAGCTGCCAAAATGGAAACAGAGAGGCTCTGTGCCCATCTGAAAGCTTCCTCATATTGCTACTGAAAGGGCAGAAAAATAAGAAAATCTTCAAGTTAGATATAAAACTGTAAGGCCAGAGAAGCACTGAATTTTTTTTATTTTATTTATTTATTTATTTATTTATTTATTTATTTATTTTTAGAATATCGTTTAACTAGGGGGAAAAAAAAAGTATGTCCACGAGGAACATTTTGGTTTGAAAGGTATTTAAATTCAAAAGAATAACATCCCTATGAGTAATTCTGAAGCTCTAAAAATGAAAACCACACTTAATTGTAGTGACATTTAGTATCCATTTTGAAATTAGAAAATCAAAAGAAAAAAAATAAAAACATATTTTAACATTTCACCACTATTTGATCTTATGTATGTTTTAAATTTTTCTTAGAGGTCACTGCCTCAAAATGCCTCAGAATCAAGTTAAACTATTTATACAGTGACAAAACACGTGTATCTGTGCATGTCCAGATCACTGATATTTACTCAGGTTAAATATTTATTACTTTTGAACAAAACATTTAAAAAATTAAAACCACAGTTTAAGTCTCTAATGTTTTTCAGCTTCTTAAACGGCTTCCTTTGAGATTTTGTCACATCGTGACAGCTTAAGTAGAACAGTGCCTTCTGTGTTTTTCCTTTTTAAAGAGGAAACATGTTGACTGTAATGCTGCATGTTGAATAAAATATGTTTAACATGTTGAGCACAATAATTCCAAACTGTACAATCCGCACTAGGCAAGCTCTACACTAATAGAACAAGGCTTGAGTTTAATCCTGAGAAATAGAGAATCACTCTGGCAATTTACCACAAACTGGGCCTCTGCCCTGTGGTTCATGTGTTCAGCTCACTGCTATGAAATTTGAACTAGTCTGTCCTATTAAAATAATTGTAGATTTATTTTACAAGTTTTAAAGTGATCATCAGAGGCACGGTTCTGCACTCCATGAATTTCACACCATTTTGTGTTTCTATTCCTTGATGAATTCTTTCAGTGGGACATATAAACCCAAGGACGCTAAAGCAGAACACTGTAGAGTCTGTGAGTACTTCATAGCAACATATGAATTTAAGAGAACTGCACAGTAAAAAGAGATAAAGCTTGTCTCCATGATTCTTGTTTAGCAGTGACTTCTCAAGAGTTGCTAAATTCACAATATTAACACATACTATAAATAGTTTTGTCTTAAAAATAAGTGTTTAGCCAGTCCTGCCCTGGCACCTGGTGGATATAATAACTCCCAAACCTAAATGCCACGTTATGGGGTGGGGGAGGCAGATGTGATGACGAAGGCTCCTGTGGCAGCTGTCTGACCTTCGTCTAACTTGTGCCCACCGCAATCTCCCTTAGGATCCTAGTTATGCCCCTGCTTCCCACCCTGGTGGCACTCATGGGACTCGCGGGGGGAGAAGATCAACTTTAGCTGCGCTGCTGCACTTACCTAAGATTTTGCTAATGTTGGAGTTATGCATGTCGGGGAAGGCCTGAAGGATTTTCCTCCTCTCATCCTTTGCCCAAACCATGAATGCATTCATTGGTCGCTTGATGTGTGGCTCGCTGCTGGCACGGCCGCGGGCGTCCCTGTAGACTCGTGCTTCAGCCACAGTGGCACCTCCTGTTGGCCAACAATAATACTGCTGTAGTTTAGCTGCAGAGCCATTCATTGCTTTACTTCCTGTAATGTCAGGGCAGGAAGAAGAAGATTAATGGAAAGTGTTATTTTGTGGATAATGTCACACAGCTTGCCACCTGGGTCAGCTGTTTTCCCCAGGTCCTCCTTTTCTATTCTAAGTGACTTCTTGGAAGTAGAAGGCAGGTTCAAAGGACAGTTCTACAGGCTCTTCTGATGTAGCCCTCAAAGGCACACTAAGAATTAATTTTGTGTGTGTTTTATACACCCTACCACATTTACTACAATAAATGGAAGGTGATTATAGAGCAATGAATGACATTACCTTATGGCAAACTTTCCTGCTGTAATTCCTTTCTTCAAAAGCATGCTCTTACCAGTCATTTTAGACTCATTTGCCCCAGATCACAACCACTCTATATGTTTCCCCCAAATAGAATTGTTTTTCACAATATTGTGTTCACCTGTGCTCTTCTCACTGCCTAGAAGACCCTTCTCCTACTCCTTCATGCTAAATCCCATTCATCCTTCAATGCTGACATGTTTCATGATTGAATGAATTAATTCTATGAAAAATATTAATTGAGCAATTACTATAACCTAGGTTTTATGCCAGGTGCTAAGGAGACCATGGTAAATAAAACAGCCCCTGCTTCTAAGGAGCTCACAGTTCAGAGTAAGGATAGACAATGATAACAAAGAGGGTAAGAGGTGCTACTATACTGATGTTAACAGGGCACCGAAAGAGCACCAGACAGAATGGTCAGCTAGCACTTCCTAGGAGATGAGATGTCTAAACTGAGTCTTCAAGGATGAATAGGAATCAGCAAGTGAGTGGGAGAGGAAGTAAAGTCCGATGGGAAGGGTAATTCAGGCTAAAGGAATAGAATTTGCAATGATGCTCCCCAGGCTGCACTCAGTCCTCCTGCTTTCAGGAGACATGCCCCATAGTAATTATTGTTTATGTGACTATCTCCCTCCTTTCCACTCCTCTCAGGAATATGAGATACCTAAAGTTAGTGATTATGCTGTAGTCATTCTTGTATCCTCAGGATTTTTCACGTAACAGATAATAAAATATTCATTAAGCAAAGATTATTTGGTTTTCAACTCATATGCAAAAGTCATAGACTGAGGCATTTATTTCAAGCGTCCTGTTCTGTTTTTCTGTTTAAGTGTAGTTCTTTAACATCTATGAAACTATGCCTAAATTCCTGATGTTTTATAATTTCCAAAGAGCTGACTCTAGTAACATACGAGATTGAAAGCTCCTTGAAGATAGGACAAGGGCTGGGTCTTATTCACTGCTCTATTCCTAGGATTCATTAAAGTACTTGGCACATAGGATTTCAGTTAGTAAATTATGTTATATTAATGAATGATTGAATAAATAAATGAATGAATGAACATGGCTCTTACTTGTCTTCATGCACCCTATGCCAGGGTGATATACTGATGTATACTTTGTGATGTGGCAACTCCTGAATGTCTCCCACAGATTAAGAACTTTTATAATTAAACGCAAAGTGGTCGGACTGATAGCCTCAGACAAGGCTTCTACCGCATAACAGGAAAGCCTACGCCCAGAAGTTTAGAAGCAAAATGTACATTAAAATCAACATTTCTATTTTCTGGAAAAAGTAAATCCTTTCCGCTCAGTGAAGTTATTATACAGGACCAACATGATTCAATCAATTTCTGGCCCTTCCTCTCTATTTTTAGATACCTTGGTTAAGTAGAAATTTGTTTGTGTCAAAGCCAGTAATAAATTATAACATTATAGTGCACTATTATTTAGCAAATATGGTCATCATTTACTGCAAACAAAAGACAGTAGAAAAGGGTGGGATTGGCTAACATGAATTTTTTTCTAAACAGGAAGGAGAGCAGAAAGGCTACTTTCTGAAGACTGTACAAAAATAACATATTTTATAAACAGCCCTTCTTTTCGGCCTACTAGATAGAATGATCCTTTACATGAAAAGTCTTAGATCCCAAGATGCATAACTAATATGATACCTTTTTGCCACCATACCCACAGTACATTAATTTCATTTAAAATGCACTGACCATACAGGATAAATTGATTTCACTTTATATGGGTTTGACAGCCATGTTTATTGTGCAGTGAAATGTAGTGTAGCTTCCAGCCGACAATATCCATCAACACAGGGCAATATGCTGACTGCTGGGCCAGATGAAGGCATACATTACTCTGGAAGTGAAACACTCATTCAGATACGACAGTGTCTTCTCCTGAGGATCACCACGGTAATTTATGATGCCCTCAGTGCCATTACTTTACAACTGACATGGATTCAGCAATTTATATACTGACATGCATTCACATAAAAGGAGACAGGTTTGTGGAGAATGTCAGATGCAAAAACATTTCAATATTATTCTAAGTTAACTGCTATGCCACAGGTGATTAACATTTGAGACCCGCTTCTTCTGTTGTAGCTTTCTCTTCACCTCTAGCAAAACCAAATAGTCAGCTTCCATTTATTTCTTCATTTAAAATATGTATTTCATTGTAAATGGGAAGTTTTACTGTCCCAAAGACTGACAGAGATCATAGTGGATTTTTAGATGCTGGCTTTAGTATAAATATTCTAGATTCTCTACTTGGTACCAATTGAGTCTCCCAGATATGCCATACATATGCCCAATCTCTCTCCCACTCATGCTATACCACAGTCTTCACATATCCTTCCTACTCTCTTCTACTTTACCAATTTCTACCTTTTTCCGAGGAACAGAGCTCAAGTCTGACCTCTACCCTGCAGTGACCTTTACTTTTCCTCCTACATTACATATTATCTTCAGGAACTGAAGGATAAGGAATTGATTACACAGCAGTTTTCTGGGACTCACATGAAATGCTTCCAGAAGTTGAAAAATTCAAGCACAGTGCACAGAACAAAAACATGAATTAAGAAGGCAAAGAATAGAAAATGCTTTAGATCACGTGCACATCTCTTTTTTCTGGTCACCTCTTCTCTCTTCCAGAAGGAGTGAACCATAAATGAATGAGGACATCCTAAGCTAAACTAGAAATGTTGTATCAGATGAACCAAGATTTGGGAAGAAGAGATTTACCCAGGGAGGCCAACATTTGAAACTACTTTTAAAGCAAATCTGATACCTGATCAACTACAGCAGCGACTTTTAACACCACACAGATTGCAGTGCCCAGATCCCTTTGCAAAATCATAACTTGGAAAATGTTTTCATGTTTTTCCTTCTCCCACTCCTCCTATTTTTGCCCCCTTCCTGTTCTATCTCCCAAATACGTAGTACTCTAAAGCTATTTTACGACTATGCAAATTATGCCCAGGAGGTCACTCTCCTTAATTAGAAAGTCAATGAAAACAACAACAACAAATCAAATTTGCATATAAAAGTGGTCTCACCTTTGCTTTCACCGCCACACTAACATCCTAGAAAGGGAGCCTATCCTTCCCTAGATTTATAATATCTGAGTTAACACCTGGGTAATGTACAGAAAATACAGTAATAGAAACCACAAATGCCCCACAAATACATATTGAGGGTTTCCTCTATTCTGCCTTTTTGAAGTGACTATGCCATTTAAGACTTACATGGAATTCATTGAAGCATCCATATGAGTACTATGCAGAAAGATGTTTTCAACGAATATTTCTTAAATATTTTGATAGAAAACATTTCTCAATATTACTTTTTTTTTTTCATTTAAAGCAGACAACTTATCTATTACTTGAATTTACAATCTAAGTTCGAGTTAAGCTTAGATTCAGAATTTTAAGAAAGTATTAGAGGCTACAAAGTCAAAAGAACATTTAGAAAGTGTCCCTAAACTTTGCTTCTGAAACAAAATGGCAAAGGAATTGTTGCCACAGTAGAAATATTTACGATTGTATGTGTGTGTACAAATTCAGAAATTTAAAAATGGAAATTGCATACTTGGAAAACCCTTATAAACACATAAGAAAAATTTTATAGCATATTATAAATTGTTTTCAAAGGGTATACTATTAATCTGTGTATCTGAAGTCTAAAATTCACTTTGTTACAATTAATTTTAAAAATATGCATATTGTATGATTTCATACTGCTCCATTCATCATTAAGTGCAAAACACCAAACATTTCATTCTTAAATAGCCAATAGTCTGCATCAGAATCCAGAACTTGGAATGGCTCATAATTCTATGAGGCAGCTTCTTCTCCTTTTAATAGCAGAGGAGTCATTTGTGAGTTCAGCATATGCTTTTTCATGGAAAGCAGTTAGAAGAAGCCTAGACCCACAGCTATGTACCTGGAGACGGCTTTCCAGCTGACCTAAGAGTCTTTAATTGCCAGCAACAGCAGTCCCAAATGACAGTTACTGAAAGGCCAAGAGATCAACAGCACCACAGTAGGTTTCAAGGGAAAGCAAGGTCCCTGTACGTCAGGAGAGGCTGCTCTGTACAACTTCCCCTAGAAGGCTCAAATTGGTTAATTCATCCTTCATCTCAGTTTGTGTAAAGACAAACTTTCAGTTAAACATAGTTAATCTGCAGAAAATAGAAATTGCCAAGGCAAAAATCTCCTCAGAAAGCTGTGATTTAAATGATTTAAAGACAAGACAAAATTGAGTCTTTCCAGGTGGGTTGGAAAGAAGGCCAGTTTCACCATCACAGCCTCTGGAAATGGTCCTGAACTAATCCTGGAGAGGCCCCTTCCTGGTTAAATTCCAAGGGATATCCGAGTGAATGAGTGAGTGCTTGTGCATATATAAAATTATCCCTAAGGGGAACTCTGGTTAATTCTATAATGTGCCTAGTAATCATTTATTTATCTATTAATTCCATAAACACTTCTGACACAATTCATATGTACCCAGCATTGTGATGGGGTATACAAAGATAGATAATACACGTACTTTGTTTTTAAGGAATTTGGTCCCCAATGTGAGAAGACACATTAATTAAAAATTACAAACGATGCTAACAGAGGTAATTTAAAAATACTATTAGAGCAGGGAAAATAAGGTACTAACACAATTGGAGTGGACAGAGA